CCGCAAGGCAGTCGCTCGAACGCAAATCCACCTACGAGGTCGCTGCATAGCCTTGACCACAGCGGTCGTCCGGGATCATACCTGCTCGAGCCCTAGTCACTCAGACACTGACGTTGACATATACGTCCTTATCTTGGATCTAGCACAAAGCTACCTCCTAACATTCTTTTAGTGATTACGCACACCGGTCGCAACTTATCAACAGCTATCGAAAAGATGTAACAGAAAGCTATTAAACCGAAGTCGCATTTGAAATTGGTTGCGGGTCAATTCGTCTCTAAAGAACCAGTGGCTTAACGAAACCCAGTAACAAAATGCTTCGTTTCCGCCCGCCGACTGTCTCCCCCGCTATCAAGAATCTTGACATTTTAGAATTCTGCGCTCATTTACGGCGGAACACTTTGAGACAGACGCAGGATGATTTCAACTTCCACGACATCGAATTATATTTCCAGGTGATGCACAACTACGACGCGATCGAACGCGCCTTTCGCAATAATTGCTACAACCGCTGAGATGTTCAACTATATTCAAAGGCAAGTTCTGATGTTCGATGAGCTTGTTGAGATGCACCGGGTCACCAGTATTCTACCTCTTAAGACTCGTGACTTTGTACTATATTATAGGTTGGCTTGCAGCTTTAGCCGAGCTAATGCATTTGCAGCCTAGCTCAGCAGTGAATGCAAAATCTCTGCGAGCCTCTTGTGCAGTTACTCCGTTGCATTGCTCCAGGACTGGATCTGAGTATCGAGTGGCTGCTGCTGCTTTGCAGATCACAAATGCACCATAATTCAACGATGAAAGATCGGCTACTTTACACAAGAATTATTCCGCAGTCACAGCGACAGAAACTGGTCGGCTAATTATTGACGTTAGGCTCACAAATTTTTCAATTAAAAGCAGATTTCCACTGCTCGAGGCCTAACTTCAGGGGTCGACTAGTGATCGAAAAAGATCGGTATCACGACGCTGTTGATGTTCCACTTGTCTACAAACAACAGTGCACAACTCGTCAAGCAGATCAAATATTACCTGACCACCAAACGGCACTTTCCGATTTGAGGTATCCACCGCCTTCATCTAACACGTGTTCGAGAACAACCTAGGGGCGACCGGTCGTAACCCGGTGACCATTAAGTATGGTGGAGTGTGCACGTTCATCTCATCCATGCCACCTTTGTCAGCACGGTAAGCGCTGCACACATAAGATAAACCTGACCTGTCCAACCACCATATGGGTGTTCGGAATTGACATCAGTGTGTATATGTAACGGGAATTGCCCCTGTGTAAACACTTCTGAGGAGGGCTTAGGTCAACGAACATGCCTCACTGTGTGTTGCTCACTTCCAGTAGGCCGTGGCTTACGAAAAGAGGAGGAAAGGTGAAGGGACATTTATTTTATAGCCAAACGGCTTTAACCTCCCGAATCTGATAAGCGCTCTTCGTCACGCTCTATCCAACTATTTCTAGAGTGACAACCCACTCGCTTGCTCCACATGAGATCTTCGTCGCCATCGATCTTTAATAATGGTCCAATACCATGTCATTCAACGCATTTACGCTATTGTGAGCTTGATCGTCATGATAACTTTCACGATTGCCGTTGTGGTTTCACCCTAGAGTTTGCTTAAGCTTCCGCTGATGATAAGGGGCCTCCTGCAAGCGATCTCGCTCCGTTTTGGGCGCTCCCAATCATTTCGCCATTCTGAGGACGATGCTGAGGTGGTGACACCAAGATGTTTAATTTTAAGTCTCCTGCCGAATAAGACTGCGTTACATTCAGGTTGCAAATCCTGTCGCCGCGGTAGTAGGGCTTAAGAATTTCTACGTAGAACGTTGGATGGGTCTTTAGCCAGCTTGACAGGTCGATAGTGCAAGCATCCCCACAGCATGACAGTACTCGGAATGACCGGTGAAACGAGGTTTCAGCTTCGAGCTTCCCAAGCTTGAAACCGCATCGTCTGATAGGTGCTCTGTACTAATGATCCCCTACAATGAAATACATTTTGCCTTGACGACTTCGTCTATCTGCGTATTCCTTTTGCGCATCTTGCGCACTCCACCGCATCTCGCACCCCTGTGAACACATTCCCACGACTCATGACGAATGAGTCCAGGACGTTCTTGTACTTGAGCTTCGCATTCGCATCACTATTTGTATTAATTTGGAAGGCAGTGCTTGGTCGAGCTCCCCCCCACTAACATCAGAGACACCATCCATGCACAAAGCGGTACTTGTGGGTATCGCGAGCAAGTCGTAAAAACTGGTGTAAATTCAGTGAATGAATGAGCTGAGAAGTTCATAGCAAACTTAACCGGTGGTAACAGCAAACTCCATTCTGCGGTATTTTCCGCAAAGAAGCATATCAACACACTCGGCTGGCCGGTTCTGTTTGCCCATCGGTCATCGGATTTACCGCCGTGGACATATCCAAGCGAGTACCAAACGTTCGGAACAATTCTTTCGAAAAGCCACTTGATCGTGTAGCACGATCGAAGACGATGGCGTCCGGCATCCAGTGATTGCGAAAATGTGATCAATGAACAATTTAGCCGAGCCTTTGGCATCGATGGAATTGCTACATTGAGCGATGCAAACCATCTTGCTGAGTCTGTCAACAAAGACGAGTACCCCATTGTGGCCGTCAGTATTCTCGAGGAAGTCAGAGATGAAGTCGAGACCGATTAGTCAGTAGGAACGGAGAGACTCTGCAATGTCACTCGCGTGTGACATATGTCGCATGTCCATACGTATCGTACCACCCACTTGTACATCTAAGGGCCCCAATATTTGGGCACTGGGAGGTTGGTAGGTCTTCCCACGGCCAAAGTGACCGGCCATCGGCGTATCATGCGCTCCATACACTATCTTGTGCTTCAAATCATCGTTGGAGAGAACCACAATCTGTGGCTTTTCGTTATATACAACTTCATAATGAAGAAGACCATCCTCCCGTGTATAACAATGCAACCTTGATTTCAAGTGACCACATGGAATTCCATATCATTCGATGACAGAACTCTAATGATAAAATCAGACTGTTCATCCTCGACATACGCTCGATGTATCATATCAAATACATCATTTTCGATATAGCTGACATGAGCTGGCTCATACTCAGGACGACGTGACAATGCGTCTACCAGCACGTTCAGTTTTCTTGGCTTGTACGCGACCGTGAAGCTGTATACTGCGAAGAATGACAGCCAGCGAGCCATCCGCTGTGGAAGGTGGGGCGACTGATCCGCATAACGCAAGCTTGCGTGATCCGTGTGGACGAAATCAAGCGGTGACCACAAAACTTCACCAGGGCATATTTTATTGCCAAAAGCTCCTTGTCGGAACAGGGTAGCTTTTCTGCTGGTTTCAGCTGTCGGTATTAAATCGACACGATCGTGTCTTTCTGAGTCATTTTGTAGTAATGCCAAACCGATTGCAAACTCAGAAGCGTCAGACACCACGCTATCCGGCTTCGTAACATATGGTGAAGCAAGTAACGGTGCTTTTATCGAGCTGTTCTCAAATGGGTAAATGCTTTTTCGCAATTGAATGACCTCTTCCATGTACATCCTTCTCCAGCAAGTTTGATAGTGGGTGTACCATCTCCGCGTGATTTAGCTGGAAGCGATGCAGGTAAAAGGTCAAACCATCCATTTTTAAATTATATTGATTTCTTTACCTTGGTCATCCACGATAGCATTGACCTTTTCAGTCTGCACGAACATTGTATTCACCAACATAATAACCAAGAGCCGGTACTTCGTCAGCATCGAAAGTACACTTTGCCAGATTCGCCTGCAATGAATGTTCATGCATACATTTTAGCACCGCACGGATGTGCTATATGTGCATTTCGTCGGCAGATCTACCAGCTTCGTCCTACGAATGAGCAAAAATATCGTCAAAGTATGCTTGTGTGAAGCGTCGCAGTGGTCGAAATTGGTGTGAGACCAATCGATCTTAGGTGCTGGGGTGTTTGATAGTCCTTGTGGCATCTCAAGCCAAAACATACCGGACGGTGTACCAACAGCCGTAAAAGGGACGTCTTCCTCCCTCATCAAGATTTGGTATTATCTATTGACCAAATCAAGTACACTTAACTGTGTACAGCCGGGCATACGGTGAGTAATGAGATCCTTAAGTGGTATCGGCGTTTGCGCGGGAATCGTCAGCGCATTCAACTTGTTACAGGCGTGAACGATACGCCATTTACCATTTGATTTGCGCACACAAAACGTCGGCGCGCTGTGAGAGACTTACTCTCCCTCACCTGACCAGCTGCTTGCTTTTGATCAAAGAAATTGTCCATATACTCACATTTCTCACGCGACAGTGGCTACGTTCGAATCACTGCATGCTTTGAACCAGATTCAAGATCAATTTCGTGCCGAACTCTACGTCCGGGTGGTGTTCCAGAGGGTGGATTCGCACTCAGGACGTCACCTTTGTATTCCATAGCAAGTGAATAATAAGGATCAGTTGGATTCTTCAAAATAGTAGATCCTCTGCGTAGCTCCACACGCTGTCGAATCTTCTTGAAAGCCGAATCATTCATGGCTGATGCTGAGCATAATTCCGCTGATCAATCTTCTACTGTATAAACACAACCCCCCGATGTCACCACACTTGGGGTCGTGTTGAAAGTCATCGTAAGTGACTTCCTCGAGCTGTACCAGCTCTCTCATCGTCGGCAACGGTGCCAAGGAGCATACGTTCTGGTAACTATGCAACCAGTCGTTGCATCCACAATATGTGGACCAGCATATTCGCGTGCTATATTTCCATCATGGGAAGTAGTACGCTGGACTATTTCACCCACGGACTCAACCACATTTAGAGCGGAAGTATCAGTATCGCGATCAAGAAATTCTGTTGATTCTTCCACAGGTGTGTGCTCAACCACACAACAGGTGGGAGCATCACCTTTGTGGATTGCTACACCCACAATCCGACTCAACTACTATGTTAGTGAGAGTATTGGCATACCCAGCCACAGTCGATTCCTTCGACTTTCGATCACACAAATGTCGACAAATACCTTCTGTCTAGCGAAAGAGCAACAACTGGCATCTCTCCCTCTTTTTTTTTCGTCGGGCAAAACTTCACGCCCACCAACGTTTCATTCTTTTTCAAGTGGCCAGTTCCGGGCACCACTTGATTTATCGATACACTTCCTGGGTGACCACCCGTGGCCACTCCATACGACTCCGTATCCTCCGTTACCTGGGGAATGTTGATTGCATGACATATACCAATGAAGTGTGGATCATTTCTAGCAGCATACGTCTTCCTAGCGCTTCACCGCTTCTTCTGGTGCATAGTATGTGGTTTCATTACTCCCAAGACTTTGATCTACACCAGAAGAGCTACTTCCAATCGTTTTCAATCGCCAATAAATCCATAGCTCGTGCTTTTCAAGCCACGGTATACCTAAAATCAGGTCATACCGGTTGTACATATTAAGGAATGTAAATACTTCCTTTGAGCTGAAGTCTTCAAACTTCACTTGAATATCAATCGTCATTTGCTTTGCGGTGACTAGCGTACTAGTGGCCAGCTTTACTGAGTTAAAGTCTTTGCTATATCTAGTGCGTTCAAAAGCACTAAATCATTTTCAGCAGCACTTTGCTTCCGCGCATAGTAACGCGACGCGCCAGAGTCAATTAAGACGCTTGATAGACGACTGTAATCCTTCACGCTTGCATTAATAACGAAGAGACCACTCCGACCAATGCCTTTGACGAAGGACAACGATCCTTTGTGGGTTAAACCCTCATGAGTTGTTCTATCAACACACTCACAAGAGCTTATAACTGCCCCAGCAGACAGCTCTACATCTACTGGGCCCCGGCGTGTCCCGAACGCCCCGTGGTACTTGACTCGGAACCAATTAGATGATAACCGTATTGAGTGGTTCTTCTCTCACGTGGACAATCACGGCAGATGTGACCGAGTTGATGACATCCAAAACAGCGTATTCGCTGCCTAAGGACAGTCACTACGCTAAGATACACTGGTTCCGGATTTACTGTAGCAGCAGTCACTGCATCCATTGGGTTGATCGACTAAATACATGCCCAACGCTGACAGTAGTCCTAACGCAATGCAATCATAATTGCATCATCCAGAACGTCGGGTTTTGGCGGAAGATTTCAGTCTAGGAGGACCCTAAGTGGGTCCCTCCAAAACCACAGCGAGCATCGCTGCCTCTGGCAATGGTTCACTTGCCATACTGGGTCGAAGCTCCGACAGAGCTTCTGTACATAGTCGTACAATGTTCCGCTGTCTTGACGGCATGACAAAACTTCAACCGTTGCCGAAACGCCATATTTGGCAGAAGAAGCATCAAACCATGGTATTCACCAACCTTGTCATGCGGCAAAGTAGCCAGGGCGGTTGTTCGCACGGTCATCCAAATGTGACATGGCAAAGGCCACTTGAATACTGTCATCACGAATTTGAGCCATCGTGATGACAATGTTCATTTCTCGCTGCTAAAACGCGAAACTTTATCTTCATTCCCGTGAAAGCTTTTCACCTTGATCTTCAGAGGACGTTTCGTGTGTCACCGCCACTTATGGAGGAGGTGACAGGATATGTTCCGGGATAAAAATCTTGATTATCCGCAGCAAAATTTGCAAAGCATTGAATTATCACCTCTCAGCCAAATGGAGTATATCGGCAACGACGTGATCTCTGATTAAAGCTCACACATCTACCACGCACTTCCATTTGCGACGCTGTCAGGAGCGGATATTCCTCTCTTTTGATCCGAGGACAACCACCGCCTGTGGTGCCCACATTGTCCATCAAGAAATCCATCGAAGTAACCGGCGTTAGAATGACTACAAATGCTACCAAATGAAACGGAAATTTCCAGTCTGTGTAAACACACCCTTTGAGGAAGGCTAAGGTCAACTGACACGCCTCACCGCGTGTTGTTTTGATACACATAACTGAAAGGGGATGAACAGTTAATGGTAGGCACACAGGTTTGTGGTCTACACAAAGTGGAATGGGATCTGACCCATTACAGTGTACGTCAGTGCTGTCCACTATTTTCTTCAGGTAGTTACTTTACTCGCTTAGCGTCGGCACTTTCATATCGAAATCGGCAACTTCAACTCTTAGGTTGACCCGAACCTCAAATCCGTTAGTCCGGTCTCCATAAATCCACCATCGGGCAGTTTCAAGATCTGGTTGCACGTCGAAATCTCCAATCCCCGTCAATCCACCCTCTCCTTCTTTTCGGTCAAGTCATCTCCAGACGCTCAACGTCCCGCGATCATCTCTCAATAATAACGTCTCATTTTGTTTATCCACCTGTCTCCATCATCCGATAGAAACGTTTCCGCTCGGGGACATACACAGACCCGGCTCGGCACCAAGGACCATTCAGTGATCATTTCGTGCTATCGTCGACGCTGCAAGCAGTATCATGCGCGTCTCGTCACGTACCGTGGTTAGATAAGATTTGACTTTTGAACAACCCTGACGTGAAGTTGGCAAGCGACGTACACTAGGCCCAATTTTTCGATAATCATTCTCCCGTTCAACCACAGCATCAAATGGCAGAAGCCAATGCATTCTATTACCAACCAGCCAAAGCAACGGCAGCAGTCGTATAAAATGCCAACACAAAACTGGGTTTGCAAGTGCGAGGCATGACACCAGCAAGCAAATTTTTGGCTGGTTCCAGCCAACGTAATCATAAGATGCAGCGGACTCTTTTGCCGCTTGCGCTACCCAGGACAGGGTTAAGTCTGACAACTTATTCGAGCGCGACTAAGCAAAAGCAATCATCGATTGTTGTTTCTTCAACCGCCAATGAAGTCATACAATTGCAGGTCGGACACAACCACTCCCACGCTTCCAATGATGATTAATCGTATTGATGACAGTGCAACACTGTTTGAGAGATATTGTTATCCAAACAAAGTAAGTCCCGTAATTACATGCAAAGAGCTATTCGTGCGCAGTGATGCGCGCATCTCACGTGGTGACCGATATTCAGAAATTCGACCCTAACGCTTATGCTTTAATGCACCATTCTGAAACAGCAACAATTCATACAATCCTACCAAAGCCAGTCAAAGACTGGTAAGGACGTGCTTAAGAACTACATCACTCGCGCGCTGACCAAACAGACCAAAACTCTGCTGATGATTCTTTCAGACAAGCTGTACACCACCCTGGAATCAATCAAACTTGTCTTCCAAACGAGACTTCCTCTTCCTATGGGTATCGCTGTTTTGGTGACACTTCGCCGTCAGCACAGGCACCCTCAACGCATAGTGAAACGAGGCGGTGTGAAAGACATGAACCGATACTTTAAATCTCGAGACTCTCTCGTTTCCTGAACAACATCGTGGCTTTTTTTGTCGCCACTGTAAGGCAACAGGTACCAGCTTTAGCAATACCAAGCAAACTCTGCCGCGTCCTTTTTGTGAATATCATCGGTACCGCTTGTACAGCGCTAATTAGCGAGGAAGGGCCTCTCAACACCGTGAGAATTCCGAATATTCACTGTCTCTGGGTACGTATTGAACGATGGTGTACACGTCCTTACTAGAAGTGGGGTGGTCCTTGAGCGTGCGAGGCGTCGGATCTCAGCGATGCTGAGTGATACAATATCAATTACCAGAAAGCAAAAGAACTTCTGGTGCGGGCAAGAAGCTACGCTAGCTTCTGTGCAGAGAATGGAAGTATCCAAACTAATTCGCAATGATAATACTTCGTGCCTAGAGCGGAGCTTGAAAGGAAGAAGCAGTAATGAACCGCGGTCTCAGGTGGTTCTAAGTGAAGTATGGTCTCCAGATATTCGGTCGATTTAGATTTAACGAAATGACTGTAATGCCGTGATTCCTAGAGGCTATCGCCGGTGGGAATAAAAACATCAGTTATACGTTGGTGTCTCCTGTGTCAGTGCCGATTAAGGCGAAGAGCGTAAATGATCAGCAAGTAATAAGACCAACGAGGATCACTTATCTTTATCATGACGAATCAACATTACGCAGTCAGTACTACCGCATAGATCAGTGTAGCTACAGCTACACGGGTAACTGGATACTTAAATCATTAATTAATGAGAGGAAGGACCAGGATAGTCTTAAAGGTTGTATGTCTCCCCTCTCTACCTCAGGAGATCTTCACTTCCCAAGTTTATAAGAGTGTGGAGCTCAATACCCAGAGCTGTTGGCTCCCAATATCAACATTTCAGACCATGGATAGTTTTAATTGGTCCAGAAGCGCCGTGCAATTGCGTACGAAGCGCGACTACCGAAAACAATAGGAAACTAACAGGGGTATTACAGACCCCGAACACAGATACGAAATTTATTCGGCTTGCGACACGAACTCATTTGTAATCGTGTCGAAGATCTTTTGATCCTTCGAATGAGGTTTGGGTAGTTCGATGGTGTGGAAAATGTCGTCGTCTATTTTCGATCTGGATTTAAATTATGATTCCATCGTAAGTATGGCTTGGCTTAAATTCGATGATCCATGCATAAACTGGAAGGTGAAGAGTCGAAAAAGTCAGGTGTCTTGCAACACTCGCCTGGTTGAGCCTTGAAGAGTCATGAATTCGCTGCTACCAGGAAGTAAAAGCGCATATAGTGTAAATACGAAGCTACGCTGGCTTATTTGTAGGACATTGAATCGTCCAGACTAAGTAGCACTGATATCACAAAGTGCTATGAGCAGCACTCAAAAGGCAGAGGTGGGTCGTACGCTTAAGGTGAGGCTGAAAAGCGATCGTATATCACTGTCCCAGGAGTGTACCTCAATAAAGGAAAAAAGTCGACGGTATGCGTTTTCCTAGAGGTTATTACTGAATGGATGGTTAGTCACGGCTGTATGTCGGTGTGCGCCAGAACCGCTGATGAGTAAAAGTGGCGGCGTGTCAAAGTCTCTTATTCCAGAGAAGATGGCGTTTATTGGCGATTTCAAAGCGCGAGCAGACTGATGTCGCTTCTAAGCCAATTTGGCAAGCCATCGAATATTAGAATGCAGTTTCACGATGATACATAATAGATTAATGAAAAGATGCCACCGAACTAGGAAGGGAACGGTCGCCAACAACGTCAATTGCCTAGACCAGGTCCGATGATGATGCTCTATACTACGGAGCGGGTTCTCAATTTATGAAAGCTCGACTCACTAATAGCATTGTTGGTTTGTCTTGAGTTCATCAGTGCGCTTAAAGGACAATTTTATATACCAGGTAGATATTGCGCGGAGTGACTATCGAGACCCGACCGTAAATGCAAATAACGATTTTTCTCGACTCAGCACTCGTGGGGGTGTATTTTGTGCGCTAGGCATATTTGATTTAATAAATTTAGCTACTGCAGAATTGATTTGATATAGATCGCAATCAGACAGACGCCTCTCACCTTCTAGCCCTCCCGTTTTAAATTATGTCGCTTGCTATATTCGAGCTCAATCAATCTAATATGTGCGCTGTTGCGCTGCAAACAACCGCGCAGTGAAAATCCCAGACTTAGATCTCGGAAGCAGCAAAGTATCTGGCTAATATAGCATTATCATAACAGCGCAGATTTTGAGGCGAAGGAAAAAGACTTGGCTTGAGCAGACATTTCTATGTCACGGTTTGTTGCATGCCAAAGACAAAGACGTGGACCTTTGTATTGTCGTTCATCAATTTCTTTGCTTAAGCTTAGATTATCAACTCGTGAATGCAATTTGCTATGAGGTGGTGAAATGTTAGGGTACGTGCGACTTGATTGCCGTGCTCTTCGCACAGAGGCACCTTCGACTCTAACGGTCCGCGCTAACCAACGCACGGAGGTTGATTTCGTGATCAGAACGAGAGCTTGTCAGAAAATATATTTAGACTATTTACATTCATACTGATGTCACGCATCTTGCTATTCCCCCTAGAATGAGTTTGTATCTAAGTTCTGACGCCCACGTGTGCTTTAAACTTTTTGAAGCTCCATCATCTTCGAAAATGCTCATGTTCCAATACTTACAAACATTCTAAATTACACTAAGCATCAAGTGAATTTTGTTGAATTGCTTAGTATTGTACAGATACACCTGAACCAAATGTGTAAGGGTTAGTCTACAAATTTACAGCACTTGCCCCGCTAAATACATGTCCTCTTTAGTGTGTACTTATCGGAGTTAGTGATGAAAAACAGTGAAATTGTCATACAGTAAGTTATTATTTTAACCAGTCCCACTTTACTCTCGATAAATCGCTCAATAAGATTAACCGTAAAGTAGAATAGGAACAGCCTTTTAACGCATCCTGGACTATAAGGTTCAGAGCGCCCTTTGTTCATTAACTCCGTTGCATCCAAATTTCAAGTGAAATTGCATTGACGATAGGTAAGGCTCTGCGTTGGTAAGAAAGTTGCTGAAGGCATCTTTCTTGGCTAATACGGACAACTAGAGGAGGCTTCCTTTGATCAACGACGCTTTGACTATTGCGATGTCAATTTTCCAGATCCTTGCAATCGGTTAGCGCTCGCCGTAGTATGTGTACGTCAATATCATTCAGGTGTCATGGCGTTTGACTACGGTAAGCTTGCATCGTAAGTCGTGAGAGGATTGTTTTGTATGAGGGCGATACCAATGTGGGTATTTCAAATGGCTAAAGTTGGTCCTATTCCCAAAAAGAGACTGGTACTGCTAACTACCCTCAAAATTTCTAAAATATAGTAAGAGTGGTCGTTTTCTAGCTTATTACGGGCGAGAAAGTGTTAATACATAAAGGCATTTCGTTGCTTCTTTCGCGAGCGTTCAACCAGCCCGACGTCATCGACAAAGTAAAATTTGCCGGATAGAAGTCTCATTCGATACTGTTCAAGATATTCGAGAAGTGTGGTCGCAAGCGGACGATCACCCTTTCCGTCTAAATTGAATTTAAACAATGCGTTTCTTGACCCGGTACCAGTAACAAGAATTTCACCGTCATTGTTTGCCGCAAATGAAACCAATGCAGAATCCCAGCCCATAATAGACACTTGCGCCACAGCCATGTTTATGATGTTTTGCGAGCATCAAATCGCCACAATACAATATTTCTCATCATATACAAATCTGCAGATCAATAATGAAAGCCTCACGTCAACGGAGAGCGACTACACAAGTATGAAAAGTCAGCACATGCCGAATGAAAGTAGCAACAATTTTTAACACCCTACCTTGTAGTCATCAAACCAGATATTACCACCTTGTGCTATCAACAGAATGCGCAGAACCTACACCACACCGACATTAAATAGACATTCGTCGACCCGTATGCCCTTTTGAGAGGTCAAACCTCAGGAATATACGTTCCTAGCGTTTTCTCTAAAGCCTCAATTTCCATGCAGCAAAAAGTTACTAAAAATTTGTCATTTCCTAATTTTGATCATGTCTTACTGGTATGTTTCTCCTTAGCTGAATCATGACTCGCTTTGCGCTGAAACCAGCTCTCTATATCTATGCGCCGATCCCATTGATAACCAAACGAAGTCTTTATAAACAGAATGCCAAATCTTAAAACAAGATGTTAGATACCATGGTTGCACTGGACTCTCTCATCGAAATCCATTGTGACCTTACGCGAATCGCCTTCCGCGACAGAATGCAAGTCCATCATAATTTTTCTCGCTGCAATGACTCTTTGCCGAAAAGAAGTATTGGCTTGGTGTATCGAACATACTAAAGTGCACCACATAACTTCACAATCGAAATGCAAGAGATTGGGACTGGCGCTGAGGTATCTGTGAACTCCAAGCAAAGGGCAGCAAAGCGGCTTCGCGAAGTTTATGAAGAGCGGAAAATCTGGATAGTTAAGAGAGAAGAGCTTTTGAAGCGTAAGACAGAACTTCTGAAGCTGCTACAGCTCCAAGATTATAGTAACAGGAATATTGAGCAAGACAAACCCCAGCAGGGGTTAGAAAAGGCGAAATCGAGTAAAGAGAAGGACGATGAAGAAATAAGAGAAAAGAATGTAGAAGATATGGCTCGAAAGAAAGAGCTTAGAGATTTACAGGTACGAGCAGAAGCGGCGCAAGCGGTGCGTACGCATTCAGCAGTAGTTATATTCTTGAAATGTGTATTTCACTCTTTTTTATTCCAGAAACAGCAGGCAGCGGCGACTTTATTAGCGCATAGGCTTAAGCAGCTGTTAGCTAAGCGCAAACGAGAAGACAAAGAAACAAATGGACGCCCGCGAAAAAAGACAGAAGTTAGCAGTGAAAATGTTGTGAAGACACAAGCCTTTGCATCTGAAATGCATCTCTGTGAGAAGTTTGGTCTATTTTTTTCATATTGAAGATGAGTCTGACGGAGTTTGATTATATGTTATTATACCAACTATTATATAGTTGCTCCTGCCCCGAATTTAAATGTAGGGACCACAGAGCTTGCTAAAGCCGCATGCTTTCGCATTATGACGCGCTATCTCGTGCAGACAGGAAAGGTAAAACATTATGTCTTGAGATTTCCTGAATGTCTTAAAGCTTTTTTATGTCAATTTGCGACCCAAAGATGATACCAAGGCCGACTTTGGATCAAGCATTTAAGACCTACACAGGCAAGACACTAGAAGAACTCGTTGACTGGTCTTCGCTGGAGCATTGCTTGACCCCGTTAGTTGCTGGCGACAAACAAGATTTGTCAATTTTGGCTCGTAAACCGTACGTGTGCTGGCAACCTGGACGTCAGTCTTTGAAAATGCCAACATTTATTTCATCAGACTCAGGTTTGCTGTTCTTTCAAATGCAATGAAGTGTTCATACAGTGGATATAGTTTTGAACTGTGACCTTTTTTTCGTAGTTCGTATACAAAAAATGATTAAACTGGAACAGGATGTTGTTGCGTCTATGTGTGAATCGTTGAAAGTTGTGGACCAAACAATTTCTAGTGCTATTCGAAGACGTCAACAAAGACTCTTTTTTTGCGCACTGGATAATTTTGTCACAACAACATCACCAGCAATGCTACTTTCTTTTTTTATCATGGACACCAGGAAACAAACAAGAGTCTTCTATCGATCATATACACAATTCGCTAATATTCTCGAGAAAGCAGATATATGGCTTTCCGAGCAAGCCGAACTTAGCGATTCCAACAGCAGTTTGCTGCCCCGATTCGACGGGCAAACTGGATTTCGAGACTCTCGTGACCGCTCAATGTTTTCAAAATACGCCAAACCCTTTTCTGTCGAAAAAGATTCAGTTGCAAGACAACTAAAAGGAGCTGCGCAGCATTATTTTCGCTCAAAAACGATTGATCCTATGAAGTATATGCGCTTTAGTGCTGTTCACATTCCCATAGTACAATTTAATGTCTTGTATCTGCTTGTAGAGTCATGTGTCGCTATGAATTGAACGGTGTTTGCTATGACAAGAATTGCACAAATTATCACCAAAGGGATTACGACTCTAATGATGGGCCGAGGAATATTGTAAAAGAAGGCTTCGATGAACATAATGATGATGCTAGTTGTACTGTGGAAAGGATGGACGATATAGATCAACTTTTGATGTCATTCGCTGTATTTCGTGATAAAGTAATGAAAAAGTGGCCTCTTATATCAACAATTCGGACACTGTCTAAAGTAAGTGCTCAAGATGAAGAAGAGGGGAACCTTTCAAAGTTTGATTTATGCTATATTTGTGAAGACAGTAATACCCATCAACGATGGAATATCGATCGCAAGCGGTTTGCATTTATCAAATGATACTGATTCAGCAATTTCCACCACCGATAAAAGTTTTGAAAACGATAATGGTGACTTCATTGCCCTTGATAGTCAAGAGGAACTTCCTTGTGTTGGTGATGCTCGCTACTTCGATGAGATTGGCTCACGAAAGCTTTATGGCGAAGTACTCCAAGCAAAAGTCAATGATGATCCAACTGCAACTGATGCATGGCTTCAGCTGGCGATTTTTCAGCTTGATCTTGTAATTGAGATGAGGTACGCTTTATCCTACTGAGTATAGAGCGGCAAACTTTAGTTTTAATATGAAGTTACACTTGCTGTTTGCCTTTAGTGACGACGCTGTAAAGTTATCTGACGATGATTATTTAAGACAACAGCTTATTTTTCTATGCAAGGAGCTTAACTTTAAGCAACACAATAGTCCCTTACGCATCTGGGCTGTGGAAGAGGCAAATTTGAAGCACAGTTTGCATACACTTTCGCGAGCATTAGAAGTTGAAGCAAATGCATATTGTGAAGCACTTTGGCTTTTATATTTGCATCTGTGTAAGCAAATCACTAGTCGACAGACGGAAATCGACATGGTTGAACAGAGCGTACAGTTTTTGCCGAACTCTCATGCACTGTGGCTTCGCTATATCTCAACATATGACTTTGAATCGGTAAGCGTGGCGGAGAGTATACACTGGCGACTTCTCGAACATATCGCTCGAGCACATTCGAATGAGATTGGACCGGAGACCTCTCGATTAACATCAAAGGATGTTTCCATCTTAATAACGGCAATTACTTTTCATCTTTGTATTAAGCTGTGCCATGCTGGGGCGTGTAGTCGAGTTCTTAGGCTGTTGTCTGCATTGCTACAGCTTGACGACCAATCTCAAGAGTTTTCGTGGTGTAATGCGGTGCGGGATCAGATGCAACACAATGAAGTGATCTTGATTTGTATAGTTTTAGCTCACTTTCTACTCTTCCATGAAATACCTGACTTGATTGAGCATTGGGTCGCTGCAAGTAATTTGGAATGTATCCCAATCGAAGGTTTGGCGTATGCAGCTGGCAGCTTACGAGATCGTGGCTGTGATTTCGAAGTAGATGTGTTTTCTCGAGCATTGACGTGTTATGAGCTTGCACTTCACACATTCCAAATCGAAAGTAATTTAGTGCACAATGCTGGAAATGTTATTTTGAGCAATTGGATGCTGTTGCTCGCATTGCAACGTGATGAAAAGAGAAACAAATCTCTTTCGGCGTTTTTTGATAAACATTTGGCTACTATTCAGCAATTTTCTGGGGCAACTTGCACAGCAGCCAAACTTATGGTTTCAGAAATGAATACGGGACACGAGGCGCAGCAGCTAATGCTCACGATGATGAACAAGAGCTCCGAAACCCGCTTTCCGGAGGCCCTACATCATTATTTATTTACCTGCCATCAATTACCAGTTCTAGCTGATGCTTTGAGTAAGACTATCCCGTATGTTATGGAGCGCTTGGCAGATCTTTTAGATGTAAACATTGATGATGATTATACGAGCTCGATACACGACACAAGTAAGCTACGGGAGTCGCGGGCCTTAAACGATTTACTAAAAGTTTTATTGGAAGCTTGGATGGATCAGCTTGCTTTGCTTCGGCAAGAAACAGCACAACATAACCTGGACGACGTATCATGTGCCAATATTTACGTGGCATTAGATATCTGCCATTTGATGGGCAAATTCATTGGAACCTCAGCCGCCGTTGATGCAATTCAGAATATTTTAAGCTCGCCTCGATTTAAATTATTACCGTATGAGGCTCGACAACTTGCCTGGGTGCAGCGCTTCATATATCAAGCCGAATTGCTTCAGCAGGAAGCCTCGAAGAGTGTATCCTGGCGAATAAATCAAGCCATTTTAATCCAAATATTTCGAAAGTACATGCTAGAAATGAGTGTCGAGAGTGAGATGTTGTGTCAGGTATCGAGGCGGATTGAGATCAGCATTGCTAAGAATTCAATTGAAGATGCCGTGCGCGATTGTTTGAACCCGGAAAGACGTCAATTATTTACTTACAATAAAACTCTCGAGCTATTACGGTTATGTTCTGCAGCGATTGCTGGACCAGACAAGGCTGCGTTCTATGCTTCATTCACAGATCTATTTACCTTGTCACCTGAATTTTCGCTTTCTTTCTCTGGTACGTGCTTGAAAATTGAGCTTGTTCGCTGTTATAACTATGTTGGCCATAAATTTATATAAATTTAGATATAGCCACTCATGAATGGGAACTATTAGCCGCGCGAACAAGTTTACGAAAATGTCTTAGTGGTGCCAAGACCCAGCATTCTCAAGTATTACAAGCTCTGGTAGCTGTGGAGCTGCGATTACATAATATGAAGGCCATTTCTAGTCTACTAAATTCCGAGATCCAAATAAACCCATTACTTTTGGAGCCATGGCGCCTTGCAGTAGCTCTGGAAATTATGGTGGGGGAAATATCTGATGAACGATCGCAGATATTAGCGGACGAAATTGAGAAGCGGCAATTGGTGTTTACGTGTAACACATTCGGTGACAGTCAGCTACTGGGTGGAAATAGAGTTTCGTGGAGAAATAGCACAAAAGATACGTCATTAAGCTTGCGGGGTCTTGGCCTGAAGTACGTCCCGACCGCAGTTTTATTATGTAAAGAATTGATATCGCTGGATGTTAGTGGGAATGAGCTGCTCGAGTTGCCAATCGGCTTGCAATATTTGACAAATCTCCAACAACTAAATGCATCGGAAAATACACTGCTCGAGTTTCCTGCGGGCATCCAAAGCTTAGTTAAGCTTAAGGAACTCAGGCTTGCCCACAATAACATATCTACGTTTTCGTTACCGGTTTTACCACGACTTAAGAAGATCGACATTCGATGGAACAGAGCAACACAGCTTCCTGTATCAAACATTGTTGCTCTCACGAATCTTAAGGTTTTTCAAGCTGAGGAGAATTTATTCTCAATGAACGATCTATCGATGATATCGAGTCTGCTGTCGAGCCGAGAGGATGTCGTTTCTCCGAAGGTAGTATCTAAAACGCCCAAAAGTCACGCAAAGGAGCGAAACAAGGAAAATAAAGATGATAGTGCAATGGAGCAGCTTGCTCATGACAATGTGACTACCAGTACTTTCGGTGAGGGAACAAACCAAACGAGGTGTTCGAGCAACAAAACACCTTCGATGACAGATAGTTTACATGCCACACTTGCAACTACCGACGATGACGGAGATCAAAATATGACTAGAGAATACACCAACTCTGCATCAATTTCAAAAAATCTTGGTAGCGAGACGATGATGAATCCGCAAAAAGTGAGCGTTACGAACAAATCCAAAGACAACGAAGATTATATAATCGTCGACGATGAGTGTGATGTCCTGCCAATTTCTAATGAATTTCCCGAATATCAAAGTATGGGTCAAGACAAACCTGTTTTAGCTTGCGATAATTCTGTGATGGCGTCTACGTTAGTGAATAGTGCTGCAGAGCGGGCAACAGAGCTACAACGTGTAAAATTGACAGACGACAACAATGATAACACAAATACCCATGATCGTCACAATGTGGACGTAAGAAACAATCTTATGACGGGCAGTGGTGAAATGAACAATATTTCGCTGAATAACATCGAAGTCGCTACATCGACAGTCATCAGAGAGCAATTTAGCCTAGACGCAGCTAAACTTGCACGCGAAAAACTCGCTACATACATGAACGTTAACCGTATTGATAATCGCGCCGAAGTCCGCTCTCGAAATCCGACGTTGTGGCGAGAGTTTTTGGCTGCTAATCTTCCTATCAATTTGGGTTTGCCAGCATGTAGAATGTGCTTTGCACCTCATCATGGTACAAATCAACGATTGAACTCAATTGTGCTTTGTGTGAATTGCCTAACGGAAGCTACTATGCTGCTGAAAGAACGGAAAGAGCAATGCGAAGGCGCAGGCACGAATGTTTAAATGATTGACAGGGAGGGCAATAATCAATAATTGAAGCGTTTAATAATATGAATACTATATAAAAAAATATCAGAGCGTTTCGTGTATTGGATTTCAGAATGAGGGCACTGGATTACTAGTTGTCTAAGAATGTTCATCTAGTATTGTGCTTAATTACTGTGTACATGCGAAACTTGTACAATTGTGCAAAATTCAATAGTGTAAAATTTTACGAAGTGCATGTTGTACACTTGTGTAATTTTAAGTATTCAGATGTACCGAAATATCACTCCATATGATGACGATGGGACTATGTAAAAGAGAAGTCCGTGGTATACTGTAGGTGGACTGTAAGCGTGTTAGGCAATAAGAATAGGTTTATCATTGGATATAGTAAAAAATATATATTGAGTATTAGTTTAAATAAAATTACCCCAACACATATGTCACTCTTGAAATAATAGAGCAACGTAAGCGACTAGTAACGGTTGAGACTATGGATGCGCTTCTGAGTAAGGAGACAAACCAAAATTCTATGCGTCTGTTAACGCAGGCTATCTCGGCAAAGCTTCTAGTGTGCAATGTGCACGGCAACCTCGTTGCACTTGGTAATTAGTAGTCAATTTGACGATCGGTTTGTGAAAGTACGCAAGATCTCTTACAAATCGGTCGTCAAACTGACTGCTAGACGGGCCAAGTAAGGGTCATGACTTTAAATGGACGCGAGGCGACAGCTCGCTTGGCGGCCCAAGGGCCGGAAGCTGCGATAAAATGCTTGGAGGGGTTCACCAAACACGACAACAAAAGAAATATACCCCCACTAGTTGTTGGTGAGAAACAGATGTCGTCCACCTTAACGCCGCTGATGTTGGGTGTCCACCCTCTTAAAAATTTTGCTAGAAGTCTCTTTTTTGATGAAGGTAGCTGAGATGACCATGACCTCGACCATGCTCCAGACAGAACAACTGCATGTCGCGCTTGCGGTCTCCAAGTGCGCACGAGAATGAACACTAGCAAGCTTAACCTACTTGAAAAGGCATATCAAACTGGATAAAAATGAAGCAACATCTATTGTGAAGGATCACACTTCCTAACAGGGCGCCAGTTTCCTAAAAAAGAGCGGAAACTAGTGAATTATGTCCAAAGAGCTGCGACGATTTATCGCTTCAATGGCTTCAGGCCCTCCTCCGAAGCTGGTAAAAAAACGACTTCTTGAGGATGTCCGAACGGGTGATACTCGCCCCTAGCCTTCCACCATTTATCCCACTTCGTCGAGGAAGCAGTAAGTGTCGCATTGATGTCGAAGTACAACTTTCATGCCGGGCGGGATAAATTACCAGATGCGAGATCTTTGTATGCTTATCAGAGGCAAAGGGGATGAGCCATGATGATGAGGAAGATATAATTTATTTGCTGCCGAGCAGCTTCGTAGTAATTCGCAGATGCTTCATGTGGAATAATGCCAAAGATCCGCACTTTGCGTTTCTTAACTCTATTTGAAGGGTACGAAGGGTCGGGCGATCTCGCCCGGTCATCCGACAATTCCTTTGCAAGAGGCTCACGAGTCTCAGCAGATTCCCCCGCGTCTTCTATAAGTCTGAGCCCTTTTGTACCCCGCTGAAATCGTGTAATGGGATCAGCCCCATTACGCATGCTGTGTGAACCACATAATTTGTGTTGTCAACATCAAATATATATATGTGCATAGTTGTATATTCCTTAAATCTCTATTATCAGAATTGGAGACACTTATCACTTTAGGGAAGGTTTAAGCTATTGGCCACGATAAATATCACTTCACCTTTTCCTCCTCGTTCGCGTAAATCGACGGCTTGCTGGAAGGGAGCAACGTGCGGTGAAACGTGTTAACTGATTGAAGTCCTCCTCAATAAGTGCAAGTATGCGGATGGGCAATTCCTGTTGCACTTGGTAGCACTAGTAATCACGGACGACTTCGACAGATTCATCTATGATTGATGTGGACACTACGGGCGGTGGTCGCCCTCGGATCATCAGAGAGGAATATTTGCTCCTTACGCACTTGCAACGGAAATGTGTGGTGAAGCTGCTAACTTTAATCGGGGGCCATGCGGTCTTTGATATGCTCCAATTGGATGAAGAAGCGATAACTCAACGCTTAGCAAGTTTTGATGCGTATGAGCAAAGATTATTATGAGACTTATCACAAAGAATATTGACGCCAGCTCCGTCCCCTCTCCCTCACCATATTTACACATAGAACGTCCCGGAGTATCCAAGGCAAAAAAATTTCACGGGAACGAACATGAATATATTGAATTTTGGCAGCGACATCGCTATCGTAATGGCCCAAATTCGTGATGACCGCAGTCAAGTGGCCTTCACCATGTGGCATTTGGATGGCCGTGCGGAAGATTGGGCGATGACATGAGAAGTCAACCGCCTCGACTACTTTGCCACATGGCAAGAGCTGACAAGGGCATTGGAATCGATGTTCCTTCCGCCGAAAGTTTCATTTTGACAACGGTCGAAGTTTTTGTCATGCCGTCAAGACAACAGCACATTGTACAACTATGTACAGAAGTTCCTTGAGCTCCGTGCCAGTATGGCTAGCAATCCACTGCCAAAGGCAATGATGGTCACAGTGTTCGTGGAGGGACTCAGTTATGGTCCTCCTAGCGTCTACCGCCAGAGTCCGACATCTCGGGCAGATGCAATTATTATTGCATTACGTGAAGACTATTACCGACGTTGTCAAACATGTGGTCAGTCAGGCAATCCGATGAAAGCAGAGACTGCTACTACTGGAAATCCGGAACCTATGAATCTCAGTGCGGTGACGGTCTGTAGGTAGCAAACTTGCTGTTATGGATGTCAACTATTTGTTCACATCCCCCGTGATTGTCCACTTGGAGACGACCCTCTCAATACGATTTTTGTCGTAGTGGTAACGAGCCACGTGGCACCAATATTACGAGGCGTTCGGGAAACGCTGGCACCCAGAAGACGCAGGGCAGTTTACCGGGGCGATTATAAACTCATGTGAGTTTGGTGGTAGAATTACTCACGAGGATTTGGCTCTCGGAGGATCGTTGTCCTTTGATAGCGACATGAGCCGAAGTGGTCTATTTGTGGTCACAGCGAGTGTGAGGGGTCACGGTCATCCGTTTTTGACTCTTGAACGACTTTGATGTGTCGCCTAACTACGCGCGGAAGCAACGTGTTGATGAAAATGATTCAGTGCTTTCGGATGCACTAGATTAAATGGGGAGGTAGGCACATTACACAGTTTGTGTGATACACATTGAGCTACTGATCAGCTTAGTGTGCCCACGCAAATAAGTAGGTGGTTATCATTAGGTACAATTGCTCCTATTTCTTGGTTACGACTAAAATTTGGACAATACCACTTATAGTATATTGAGTCTTCATTTGATCAAGAGATCCACACATGGTTGTGGATAAAGATGCGCGTACGACAGTTACGCTAAGAGACTAAGTCTCAAGGTAGCGCTACCTCAGCGCGATAGTGCGTGTAACCAGGTGTCCCGTTACATTAGACAGAAGTAATGGCTTTATTCCAGCGAAGTTGGCTACTGGTGCACAACATTTAATCGTGTGACGCAGTTGTTCAGGCCCCATCGGGCGTATGCACAGACATACTTCGACGACATCTTCGTCCCCAGTCCTGCGGGGCACGGGAGGTTGACGAGAACCACATCATTCATTTGAGATCGGAGCTTGAGTGTATACGCACGAATAAGCTGTATACTTATGCAGACAAGTGCAACTTCGGCGTCGAAGAAATCCCATTCTAAGGGTGCTACATCAAGAAGCGTGGCTTTCGAGCGGTTCCTGCAAAGGTCAATGCCAGTGTGGACTGGCCGGATCCCAACAATTAAAAGGACTTGCGCAAGTGGCTTGGCGTCGCCAACTACGTGCACAAGTACAGCGAGAACTACTCAGAACTGGCACGGTCATTGTCAAATCTTCTTAAGAAGAATGCGGAATGGTGTTAGGACACCGAGCATCTGGAGGCTTTTGACAAGATTGAAGACAGCCTTCTTCATGCACCAATACTCTCGTTGCCAGACCCGATCGTCTTTTTAGTGTCGTCTGTGACGCTCTAGACTTTGCGATCGGCTGTGCAGCGCTGCAAGTAGACGCCGAGGGGCGAGATCATGTGATCGCGTTCTAATGTCGTCAGTTTTGGGCTGCAGAGAAGTGCTACCCAGTTCGCGATAAGAAATTATTTGTGATGAAGTATGCACTTGTCAAGTTCAGTTGCACTTGCTTGGCTCAAGCCGTTTGTGATCTACACAGATCATGCGTCACTACGTACTGCGACTCAGTCGCCGCACCTTTCGCAGATGATGGCTTGGTGGCTGGTGGCTCCCCTTCTTTGCAGAATATAACTTCGAGGTGAAGTATTAGCCAGAAAAGCAGAATGCTCTGACTGATGCGTTGTCACGCAGACCAAATTATGAGCTTGCTCATGTCACGACGGTGACTTCGTCAGTGACAAATTGGATCCGCGCCGCATACGCGGGTGATGGTATGCGTGTAGCGCTGGGACAGGCTATCGGGAGCAAGGGGTTTGGAAACTCGGACAAGAAAATGTCGGCGCGATTGCACGCTCGGTTGCTTCGATATTCGTTGAATAACGGATTGCTGCATTATAGCAGCGATTGGACGGATACGCCACGAGCGGTAGTTATTCACGATGAGGATTTGAAATACCGTATCCTTTATGAAGCAGACAACACCCCACTCAGTATTCATCTCGGTCGTGAGAAGACGTATAGCTCTGTGAGTTGCCACTACTAGTGGTCCAGGCTGTACAAATGGACGAGCACATATATGCGCACGCGTGAGACGTGTAAAAAGGCGAAACCCTCTCCGAATGCGGAGGCACCGCTGGCCAGTTTGCCGGTACCCTCCGGATGTTGACAGGTTATGTGCATGGACTTTGTGTTTGGCCTGCCAAAGGACTCGGCGGGCAACACGGGTGCGATGGTCTTTGTGGGCCGTTTGAGCACGAT